CAGATGAAAACAACGACAAAGAGAAGGACAGGGAGATAGCATGATATGAGATATTCTTGCTTTTAACCTTCATGATATGAAATACTTTTGCTTTGGATGAGTTGTTTGCAGAGGTACCCCAAGGAATAAGGAACACTGAGTGACTCGAGAGGCTTCGTTGGGAAGACATTCTCGGAGATGACGGAAGGTTATGTATGTCTACTTTGCTATGGAGGGTGAAGGTCGACATTTATAGGAAATAATAACCGGTACTATTCTTTCACTCTTGTCGGCAATCGTTGGATGATTGAACAGTAAACTTCACGTGCTTTCTACTTCACCAGAAATCTTTGACAGATTACCCGTAATTTCCGCAAGGCTGAGTGTGTATGTGACAGATGCTGACACGTCTGGATAAAGCTGATGCCTCTTCGATATCTGGAATCGGCGCTTCGAAAAACTGCCTGTGATTTCCGCAAAGCTGAGTGTGTATGTGACAGGCGCTGACACGTCTGGAAAAGTAGATGCCTCTCCGATTTATGAGCTTGCCTCTTCGAGTTCTGAGCTCCGTCGAGTGCAGAGGTTGCATGTGACAAGTGCGAACAAATCTGGAAAATAAGATTGACCCGTGGTTTCTGAGCAAGCCCAGATTTTGAGAAAGCTAGCGCCTCTTCAATTTTTGAATTGGCTTCTTCGATTTCTGGGCTCGCCTATTCGATATTTGAAATCCCGTCGAGTGCTGATTTTTATAGAGGTATGCAGTACGTTTCAAAGCACACTTGAATTTCTACTTGTAGTGGTAGGTGAATGTGTTGGGTGGATGTAGTGGTAGGTGAATGTGTTGGGTGTGGGTGGTTGTAATGAGTGGATGTGTTGGGTGGTTGTAATGAGTGGATGTGTTGGGTGAAATGAGTGGATGTAGTGGTAGGTGAATGGATGTGTTGGGTGAAATGAGTGGATGTAGTGGTAGGTGAATGTGTTGGGTGGTTGTAATGAGTGGATGTGTTGGGTGAAATGAGTGTGCTAAAATGGTTATTTATAGGGAGAGGATGATGCACAGACTTCAAATTTCGTTCATTCCTTTTGCTCCAAGCATATGCTATCCATTCCATGCCTAAAAAATACTCCAAAATGGTCCAAAATGCACTTCTTTGCCACATTAACCCTTTGGACCTACAAACACACGAAAATAGCTTAAAATACTAAAATAACTACGAACTAACAATATAAATGCCAAGAAACAAGCTAACTAAGACGCATAAATATGCTCCTATCATATATTCAGTTCGTATACAGTTTACAACCAATTGGTTCAAAATTCTATCCAAATTTGTAACCTTTTTTATAACTACATTAAGGATGTGTTGTGGTTGCTAGGAATTATTCAGTTTGTATAGTCACATTTAATGGGGTGGTTTTGGTTTTGTGTGGGTTTATGAGCAGTTATGAATATTTATGTCCGCTCCGTTGTATTCTTGTCAGTTAGGTCTTTCCAAAAGCACAAAATAGATATTTAAAGGGATCATTGATACAAAATATGAAAAATACACAGAAACATATCACCACTCCCATAGGCAATGCTAAACACATTGTTTGAACATTTGAGAGCCAAAAAAACATGTTGTCATCTAACCCCCACACCCAATGTTAAGGACATTGTACATACATTTGTGCTCCAAGAAATGTACTTATCCCACCACCACATCTATTCTTACAGGCATTCTAGAATGAGTTGAGAACAAAAAAACATGTACAAATCCCACGCACGGAAACTTAATTTAGTGAATTGTTACCAAATCCAAGGACCTTGGGTATGGTTACATTATGAATGGGTTGATCATTGGGTAGCACATGGTATAAAACTTAAAAGAATTAACCCCTTCGTGCACAACAAGTTTTCCTCAAGGGGTGTGATATTCACGCACCCCATTTTACTTTTCACACGTCTTTTTAATTTTCGGCCGTTAGATCGGAATGAATATAGAAGATCAACGGACATAAATTATCCAGGGGTGTGTGGGAAGTAAAATGGGGCGTGTGGATAGCACATCCCTTTCCTCAATTCCACTTCCTCCTTAGTGGGGGTGCATGCTTTGGATTTCTCTATTGGTTGAGTTTGTTCAAGTATTTCAAATGGTGGAGGGAGGCAATAATCTCTGTTGCCTATGTTTTTAATTATTGGTTTGCCTTTTCAATAGTTCTTAACTCACGACGAATATGTTCCATTTCCCCAACCAACTGAACTTGTTTTCTCTTGTAAAAGAAAAGAGAGTGCTTTAAGTGATGTATACCTGAAAACAGAAGGTTATAATGAAGTCTACCACCTCTAGGCCCTGAGTGTGGCTGCTTGTTGCCAGACTTTGGTTCTTTGCCAGGGGTGTATTCACAATAATTGGTTTTTAAGATTTGGATTTGGGTGTAGGACAAACATATGTGGGAGTAGGAGAATAAAATAGGACTGGATTGGTTTTGGGAGGTGGAGTATTAATGATGATTGGAGGAGGAGTTATGACTATTGGTGTATAAAAGAGGATTCCGCGAGGAGTTTTTGGTGTTGGTGTATTCAATAGGGTTGGAGGAGACGACTTGGGTGGTATTTCCATGATTGAATGAAGTTACTGATCCATCACAGATGTAAGGAGAGTTGGAAATTAAAGAGAGGGAATTAAAGATGTAAGGAGAGATGGGAGATGGGAGTTAATGAATTCTGTTGACAGTAATTAAGGGGGATTTAGGTGAAAACTTGAGATTAAAATCCTCTTTTTGCTGCCTTCTACAAAGACCGAAGGATTTGGAGGGAAAAGGTTCCCCCAAAATTTGTATTTCCCTCCACTGCAACTGTCGCCTCAATTATCCACATGGTGTGCTCAGATAATGCCACGTGGAAATATGTTAGGAATATTTAATTTTAGTAATAAAAAATAATAATAAAAATTAAAAATATTAGAAATCCAAAAATATTATGAAGACGATTAGGATCACATTCTCTATGTCATGGTCATAGGGCGAAAGATTGTCGTCTCTATTAATTTTGTCATTTTCATTCCTCGGATACGTTCTAACTTCCTCTATAGTCATCATCGCAGGTAATGTGGTCATGGTAAACTATGGTAATCTTGTCAAAGCAGTTACTACTTTCCCACGACTTTGGTAAACTATTTAAAAGTACAGAGACTTGTATTTCATTAGAAACAGGATGACAAACATTAGAAAGATCTCTTGCCATAATCTTGATCTTGGTAATATGGTCCACCATGGTATCATTCTCAGACATATGTCTCGTTGTACTTCTCAAAATGTAATTGAATATAAGTTTGAAATTGGGACTGTACTTGTCTTCAAGAATATCCATGATCTTCTTTACAGTCATGTACTCCTCATAAAGAGAAATCAAATCATCTTTCATATGGTTCAGAATTGTGGCATGAGCCATCTCATTATCCTTTTTCCCATACTCTATAAGCTCGAGTAAACGAGCGTCTCATCTTGAATTATATACAAAGTTATATCATGAGTAAGAAGATAAGTAATCTTTCTCTTTCATATACGATGATTAACGTTATTGAATCTCTCAGTTTTGATTGACTCAAACTTATTAGCCATTTCACAAATTAAAATAAAGCTCATAACTACAAATATTAATTTATGCCACAGCCAATAATAAAAATAAAAATAACTCAGAAAAAATACTGCTACTTGATAAACTTGATCAAAAGCAGTAATAATAACAAACATACAAATCAACTTTCAAGAACCTTTTTCCAAATATTTAATAATTTGGATTAGTGGTTGACTGAGACTTGGTTGTGATTTATGGATAGTGAAGATTTGCGGAAAAGCGAATCTATTGCACCATTTAGAGCTTGGAATGAGTGGCAAGTTTAATTGGTTTTAAATTCAAATATATTATCTTCTCTCAAACCAATTGAATTGTTTTTTTATTCATGTTGTGATGATCACGCTCCAAGAATCCCAGTTTGTCTTTGTTGCAGATCACGTTCGTAAACAAACAAAATACATGCGTACGATGCCGTGATACGTGATAGTGCCGAAGCCGCCTTCTTCCTTATGTGATACCACACAAGGGAGTGCTCGACATCACTTTAAGAAATCACAGGATGACATAGGATTGAGCTCTAATATCGTTAGACTATTAATAACTATGAGGTAGAGCCTGGAAAAATGGCACATCAAAGAGAAGAGAAAATACATTAAATGATTTGTTTAGAGGAAATAATTCTCTTTTTATAGACTTCATCATACTTTTTCTAGATAACTTTGAATAAGCATTGTGAAAGACCTAATACACTTATTTTTATTTTTTTTTTGTTTTACAAACAATATATTTACACCAAAAGGAGCAAACTTGTAGTACGTCTACCATCACTTCCCCTTGCATGTTGGCCGACCAGGTCTCTAGTTTTGTACTAATTCCCTATTTGGTTTTAGTTGTCATACAGCTTAAAATCTATGGGATCTTTATGGACCAAATACATTTGGGCCACGAAAATCGAAACTAATATAAAGCCCAATACGAAACATTTTCATATGGTTAATTAACCAATTAATTAGTCTTGACCAAGCTCAATTAAAATACTTAATTGATTATCCATCTCATCGATATTTCTTTGCATTCATCTATACTTGGTGTTCGATCCATTAAATTTCAATTAGCGGCGCAGTATGTTTTTAAGAATGGTGCAAGGAACAACTTGAAAGGAGTAAAAGTGGTGGCAAAGTTTCCAGAATGCAGGTGTGGTCGTCAGTGTTAGAATCATGCATGTAATAGGTCATCTCGAAGAGAATGGTGCAAGGAACGATACTCACGACTTTGTTTGATATCTAGGGGTATTTTTGGCCAAAATCCTTCATTTACTTTCTCAAAACAGCATTTAAGTTTTTAAGAATGTTGTGGGAACTTTGTTTACTATTTTACTTATTTCCTATTTAATTGTTAATCGATAACACGTTAAAATTTTTCACCTCTTGAACTCCATATATAGAATGATTAGTGTTTGTTTTCCAAAGAGCCAAGACTCGTATGACGACTTGTCATGTCTGCAGCCTGGTCTCCGTTCAACAAATTCAACAATTATAAACAGCCAATTGTCTCTCAATAATTAGGTGATAAAGTAACTGGTACGGATCTCTCTCTTGCTTCACCAGAAGCATTGAACCAAATTGTTACACCAGCAGCAGCACAGCCTCCAGCCGCCAGCAGCAGCACAGTCAACTGGGAAACAGCTAAGAAGCTTGTGAGTGGTTAGCTTCACTCAATCTTCCAGAAACCCTGCCATGCCTTCCTGATTCCTCCTCAAAGGTACTTCTATCCTTCCCCTTGTTCTCCTTTCAGCTGTATTTCTTCTTATTTTTATTATTTGCAGACGTGGGTTTTGCTTGTTTTTCATTTTTGTTTGGTTGCTGGGAAAATTTGACGGGATCGTGGGGAATGGAAGTGACGAAAGTTTGAACTTTTAAACATTTAATTGGGACCTGAGAAAAGGAATAAACTTTTTCCCGGAATGAAGATTGAACAGCAATTTCCCCCATTTTTGATGTATTGGTTTGAATTGTTTTGTGGATTGAGCTGAATCTGCGTTTCTTTCGATTTTCGAGTAGTTTCTACCTTGCGTGATAGGAAGTAGTAATGTTTCTCCTACTGGTTGCAATATATGAATGATTGTTGAGAAGGGAACAGCCGAGCCAACAACATGAATGATTGAATCTCTTACATTGTGCACTTTAAAGTTTAAACTTCCAAAGGAAGTACGAAATTCATTGTAATAATTAAAATTTGCTCCTTCAGAAATAGACTGCTGCAGGAAATAACTGAATTGAGGCTTTGTACTCAAATATAGACCATGGCTCCCAAAAAACTTAAGCACATATTGTTTTCCATTAAGTTGTTTATTATCGCAGTTTCATTTTCCTGACTGAACTATACTTTGGTAGGATGGCAACGTAGGCTTGCCTCGAATTTGTTATTGTTGCAGTTCCTACTATTTATAGCTCACTGAAGGATTTTTGTCCCTTTTTGCAGATATGGAATTGATTCACGCGCTCCTTGATCACCACCATGCATTTCATTGCATCCATCACTAGCAAGAATGGTGTTGTTGAAAATGGAGTTGGTCCTTGCAGTTTTGGTGTTGGCTTGCTTACAGTCTTTTGTACTGCCTGATTCACAAGGTACGGTTCTGAGGTTATGCTACATTTAATTCATTCGGACAGCGTCTGGGATATGCTAATCACAACAATCTTCCCATTCTTTCAGTTACATATCATAAGAAACAAGATAAAGGCTAAGAAGTCTAGTTTTGTTTAATGCTATATGTCCTATTCAGACATTGGTGTCCTCTCTGCACCTCTTTCTTTCTCTCTTCTCTCGCTCTTTCTAGGATATTGTAGAAAGAACGTTGAACCAGGGGGTTAGTGGACTGTCTTTAGGTTTTTGTATGGTAGAATATGTTTACTGTCTTTTACTTTCCCTTGTTGTATCTATTCCTTTTCTAGTATTTATGTAACGTTGTAGTGGATTTTTGTTGGTGAATTTGTCCGATTAGATGATGAATATTGGCATTTTCGGTTTCAGGAGATGCACTGTTTTCATTAAGGACTTCTTTGAATAGTTCACCCAATCAGCTCAAGGACTGGAACCCGAACCAAGTCAATCCATGCACTTGGTCCAATGTGAATTGCGACCCTAACTATAATGTCATTTCTGTGTAAGACATCCTTTGGTTATTGTGATGTTTTGTTGTCAACAGATCACTTCACAATACGAAATTCCTCATTGCCTAGATTAATGTTTTTTTTTTCTTTTTACCTGTCTATGCTTAGGTTGGTCTTTTTCATTTTGCAGAATATTGTCAAATATTGGATTTTCTGGCATCTTGTCTCCTAAATTAGGAGCCCTGAAAAATCTTCAAACACTGTAAGGAGAATATTAGTTCTGTTTATCATAATTTCTATGCACTCGATTGTCTGGAGTCATTTCTGAAACTAGCATTGTCACCACAGATACTGGATTCTCAGTATCTGTTGTTTGATATTGACTTGTAAGATATCTGATGTATTATATTTTGTGATCAACTATAATATTTTCTTCTAAGAATGTGGAAAACGCAATTTAGGGTAACTGAAGAATAATGTCATGCATCATTCCGATGCATTGACAGCGTCCTGGGTTGTGTAGTTGAGTTATTGAAGTCAATTTATTTGTTTTTAGCTTAGACTCCAAATCCCATGCTTTACGAGTAAGGAATTGTTAAGATAGTACGGTTAGACTTGTTTGTAGAGTATGACAATGTCAACTTTTCTGTGATTGCAAATTCAACTCACTTAAGCATTTTACGGATTAATTCAGGATTCAACAAACCTTGTTCCAACTTCTAGCTAATTTGGTTAGCTTCATGTGTCTACACTTGTTATTTTCTGTTTGACCGCTTGCTAAGACATTTAACTTTATTAATTGAAGCTTGCAAATGAGGTACCTCGCAAATTGTTAGATTATTGAAAATCATGAGTTTGAAGTCCTGCAATTGCAACCTCCCTTGTAAGTTGAATCCCACATGTTGGGATATGATAGTGGAGGGAGACCTACATGTGGGAAGAACTGTTAGAATATAAAAGAAGTGGTGGCTCTCATCCTAACAACGTGCTTTGCTGAATTGTGGTACACGAATATTCTTATGAAGAAAACAAGTGATATTGTTTTTTATTTTGTTTTTGGATTTCTATTGATTACCATAAGATGTAACAGGCAGGACAAACAGAAAGGCAATGCGAATTTCATATGCCCACGATTCTAATATGTATAAGGTGCATTCATCTTGCAGTTCATTACAAGGAAATGGCATAACTGGCGAAATACCAAAAGAGTTTGGAAATCTGACAAGTTTGTCCACCTTGAATTTAGAAAACAATAATTTAACTGGTGAAATACCAGCCTCACTTGGCAATCTGAAAAGTCTTCAATTCTTGTAAGTTGTTTTGTCCACATTGTTTAATGTTTTCACTAATATCTAATGACTCTGCATTATCCTTACTTTTATCTGACAGTGCTTTCTTGACGATGTAAACAGGACTTTGAATAACAATAATCTGAGTGGTACTATCCCAGAGTCACTTTCAAGTCTTTCAAACTTGATTAGTCTGTACGTTATCTTTTCTTGTACAATGCACATGTGATATGAGAAATCAAGATTTGTCCATTCTTTATACTAGACGAATTAATTTGGCTCTCCAGCTTTTAAAATTCTGAACATTATCCGTGTAAAAGTTGTATACTTGGGGCTCATTTCTTCAGTATTTGATGGCATACTTAAAACTTTGTTTGCAGTCAGCTTGTCTCCAATGCTCTCACTGGAAAAATACCTGAGCAGTTGTTTAGTGTCCCAAAATACAAGTATGAACACAAGACTGCATGCCATTCCCTCTCTCTCTCTCTCTCTCTCTCTCTCTCTCTCTCTCTCTCTCTCTCTCTCTCTCTCTCTACGCATCCACATATTCAGAATATGTTTTTCAGCATGAATCTTGAGTTGACCCGTGTTGCTTGTTTCAGTTTTACAGGAAACCACCTAGACTGTGGTGTGAATCTCCCTCACCATTGTGCACCTGATACTGCTGGTTCAGGTTAATGGGTCAAACAACATCTAAAATTGAACCGTTCTATTTACCCTCTCTTTTTATAAGCTTACACGATTGGGTTTCCCCACTCTTGACAGGCGCTAAAAGTAAGCCGAAGCTTGGAATCATAGTTGGAGTTGTTGGGGGGCTTATCATTTTATTATTACTTGGAGGTTTACTGTACTTCACCTGCAAGCGTAGACACAAAGGCTCCAAGCGTGAAGTTTTTGTGGATGTTGCAGGTACGCATTGCTTTCTAGTTGTAGAACTGATTAACAACTCCATTATCTGACCAATCAATGGGACCTTGATTTTAGCTTTGACCAATCATGCTAAAGTGATTCAACCATAATCTTATAATGGCTCAGTGAGATTTCCTTTCTGTCAACCAAATTCGGATTATTATTGAATTGGTCTATCGCTGACTGAAGTTACATAAGGGGTTCCTCTTTAGGATAAATATTTACATATTCATGGTATGTCATGTCATTGCACTTATGTAAGGTTGAGAGCGGTGGGGGTGACCAACATCTTGTAGTTTCATAAAAGAAAATATTGTTTATTGGCCAGTCAATGTTAAAAATTTTGAGTTCTCTAAAACAAATTTGGAGGGCTAGACTTTATGAATAGTGACATTTTGGTTGGGACGCTAGATTTGACCTCTGGCCCTTGCCGTTACCATTAGAAATGCTCTAATAGGCAGTGACGTTTGGGCCCTTTGTGTCACTGGGTGTCCCACAAGCATTAGGGAATCATCATCATTGTAACATGATTTAAGGAAACAGATAAAAAATGCTAGATCAACTGCTAGTCTGAAAGTTGTACACGCTGTAAATTATCGAAATAATGGATGCAAAAGGGACCCCTGAATAAGTTAAACAAATTTTTAAGTGGAAATCATTAATATGGGAATGTGATGAAAACTTGATTTTGATATAAATCAAATCATGAAACGTTAATCATTACAAGACAGATTGTGTTTTCTCCATTTGACTGCACAAGTCACTCAATGATGCAAGAAAAAAAAAACCTGAAGTATCTGTGAACAAATTGATTGGATCCGTAAGGTACTCATGACAGGGTATGGCACACGTCATCTAAAGCTGTGTATTTTAGATTTTGTTGTCAATGCACTTTTTATTGTCACCAATTTCGGTCTATAGGGCCTGGGTGAGCCCTGCCATGCATAATTGAGCTCATTTGGGGTTTTTTTTTAATTGAAAACCACCAGGTGAAGTTGACCGAAGGATTGCATTTGGCCAGTTAAAAAGATTTTTGTGGAGGGAATTGCAGCTAGCAACAGACAACTTCAGTGAGAAAAATGTTCTAGGACAGGGAGGTTTTGGAAAAGTCTATAAAGGAGTGCTATCTGATAACACAAAAGTTGCTGTTAAGCGTCTCACTGATTGTGAAAGTCCTGGGGGGGATGCAGCCTTCCAGCGTGAAGTTGAAATGATAAGTGTAGCTGTTCACAGGAATCTATTAAAACTGATTGGATTTTGCACGACTCCAACAGAACGCCTTCTAGTGTATCCCTTTATGCAGAATTTAAGTGTTGCCTATCGGTTACGAGAGATTAAACCTGGTGAGCCTGTTTTAGATTGGCCTACAAGAAAGCAGGTGGCATTAGGCACAGCCCGTGGGCTAGAGTACCTACATGAACATTGTAACCCTAAGATTATTCATCGAGATGTTAAGGCTGCTAATGTATTACTTGATGAAGATTTTGAAGCAGTTGTTGGTGACTTTGGCTTGGCAAAGTTGGTGGATGTTAGAAAGACTAATGTGACAACTCAAGTTCGTGGCACAATGGGTCACATAGCTCCTGAATATTTGTCCACTGGGAAGTCATCAGAAAGGACAGATGTGTTTGGCTATGGGATTATGCTTTTGGAACTTGTAACAGGACAACGGGCAATTGATTTTTCACGCTTGGAAGAAGAAGATGATGTTTTGTTGCTTGACCATGTAAGATAAACTCTTTCTGTATTTGGGTCGTTCTTTCTCTTCCCCACTCCCCCTCTCCCGAACTCCTGTATTTATATAAACTTGTTTTGTTCCTTGACCATGGAAGATAAATTTATTTTTGCGCATGTTAAGATAACTCAAGGAAGTGGCATGTTTTTAAATTTTTACTCGTAATAATTGTTTCATTGGCATTGGGAGCTTAGCATGCTCACAGATGATATGAAGTTGTAGGGTCAAAGACTGTTTCCAATTCTATGAAGCTAGGGTATGGAATTTTGTTCATAACTTATGCTCAACATGAAATGATATCACGCTTAAGGAAGAAAATGTGGCTTTTTTTTCTTTCACTGAGTGCAGATTTTTGCCTGAGTTTGGACTCACTGTGCTAACCTTCTCTGCTTATCTGCTCCTGAAGGTCAAAAAGCTGGAAAGGGAAAAGAGACTGGATGCTATTGTAGACAGCAATTTGAATGATAGTTTCAACATCCAAGAGGTAGAAATGATGATCAAAGTTGCACTTCTTTGTACTCAAGGATCCCCTGAAGACCGCCCATTAATGTCGGAGGTGGTACGGATGCTCGAAGGGGAGGGTCTGGCTGAGCGCTGGGAAGAATGGCAGAATGTAGAAGTTACTCGCAGGCAAGAGTATGAAAGACTACAAAGGAGATTTGACTGGGGAGAAGATTCTGTTTATAATCAGGATGCTATTGAATTATCCGGTGGACGTTGAGGTAATCAGAAATTATATACTCATTTCCTCTTACTCTGTCAGCATGTAATTTGGTAGTTTAGCTCGGTTAAACCCTCAATGAAGCATATCTGTATTTAAGAGATCAAACTCAGCTTAAGATCTGTAAATACATGTTTAATTTGAAATTGATGTCTAATCAGACGACTTTGCAAAATGTCTTGCAATAATGCAGATGCTCAACTTCATCAACGAAGGTCTTGTGCAACCATGAGAAGTTTGAGGTTGCATGAAAGGAAGTGTTGCTCATGGTTCCAATTTTTCCTTCACATGTGGTTCTTCTACCATCATCTCTTTCTTCTCATTCATTTGACTAGCGTTTGAGATTTTATACGGGTACCGACGTCTTTACTCTCGGAAGTCTGGTTGAATGATGTTGATATGTGGTATCAACCCCTTTGTGCAAAGCGGTTCACAGGTTTCATGTACAGAGAGTTTAAATTGTTAAATCTGTGACCTCAACCACTCTCGCTCTCTCTCATTACTACAATTTAATCGAAGAAATATAAAGTTTGGTTAATATGCAATTATAATCTTGCCCAAATGTGGCAAAAGACACAAGATTTGATTTAGTTCCAGGAGGAGCTTTTTCAACTGGCAAGTGTTGAATGGATTTACATGTGAACACTGTGATGTAGTTTAATTAGTTTCCTTGGGTAGGTCTCTTTTTCTTTGATGATTCTTGCTGTAAGGCCGGAATGGGTGTAAATTTATATGACAAAGTTCAATAGGATGCACCATACCAATAAGAAGGCACGTATACACTGCGCGGTAACAAGACAAAACTCAAGCAACCGTTCAACCAGTGATGGAGCTGGACATCGTTCTCAGGAGGGCCTTTAAGCCATATCAAAGAAATTAGGCAAAATATAACAATATGATTAGTTGGAAAGTGGAATGAAAATTTTAATCATACAAATGTGATGGAGCTTTTTAAAACTCATATGAAAAAATTGGAATTGAAAATATTATATTATAAGAATATAACTTCTTCCCATGGATTCTCCAGTACTGTCAAATACTAATCACCAATACACAAGTTGTTTATGATAAAAGGAGTAGAGAATTTCTATATATTGTTTTTTTTCTGAGGAATAATTCCAGGATAGGCCTGCCTCGACCATGGCCTTCATGTGGCTCCACCAATGCTTGAATTTTGCAAAAAATAAAAATAAATAAAAAAATAAATAAAAAAGGACCAATGCTTGAAACCAGCAATCTTGACTCAATTTATTGGACCATTTTACTCCATATTCTCTTTTATAAGTTATGGGATTCCAGAAGGAAAAATAAATTATAATTTATGGGAAAGTTAGATCAATGACACCAGAACTACATGCCTTGTTATAATTTTTTCACTTGCAAAAAAATTGTGTCTATGTAAAACCACATTTAGAATTTTATTGCAAGGTGTCACTTGCAACAAAATTTCGTCTATTTTTCTAGTCTCAAATGTTGTGTGTGAATTGAACTTGACCTTTGTCGAAGGGTCATCTGGAAGAAAAAATAGATGAAGTTCCTCGTTGTTGGCACGTTACAACAACATTTAGTTGGGTGAGATTGTTTAAAATTATCCTCAGCTTTTATGATACCTAATCTGAAGACATTTCCTTCTTGATTTTGGGTGAAACATTATAATCACGTCCTCACAGAAGCAACAGCCTTTTCCCATCATCCGCATATTTTGCATTCATCTGTTATACGATTGACAACTAGTATGACATCTTCCATGTTTTTTTTTTCATCAGTGTCAATGCCAGAACTTTGCTCGATCGGCTCGAATATTTGGCGTCGGTTTCATGATCCATAGTTATGCGTGATCCACGCCTGCCATTTCCGAAGGTTCAATCGACATTTTATGTCTAAAAAGTTTCGGTTTCATTCTCTTTTGTTGGCCCACTCGATTAACCTAGGTTATTGTAGTCTTAATTTCAAAACGACAACATTTGATATGATTCTGTTTACGCTGCCAAAGTGCATGTCACTCATATATAAACTGCGAAAAAAAATCATGATTGGTAAGATGGTAACTTATGTTGAAGAACACAAGAATATAGCATCAGAAAATTGACAAAATTAAATATGACTTATATTGAGGGCTTTCACTTCTAATAATATCGAAAACTTTTAAGGTAAAAATCACACACCTAAACCTGGCCTAACTATAAACATGTAGTATCAATTACAAATTCGTTAAATTTTGCAGGTCGGTTTGCTTTTTTCATGATTCTCTTCTTCTTTCTTCTCAACTTCTTCCTCTTCTCTGCCGTCTTCATCTTCTGTTAGTAAATGGGGTGGAGTTGACAGCTCCGAGTCGCCGTTCTCCCTGTTGGTTGCGAAGATTTCCGTAAGGAAGGGTTCTCGGCACCTCAGCACACCTCCCCAAGGAATTGACACTTTGGATGTATAGTCGAGCTCTTGCTTGTTGATGTGCTACAAGAAGAGGACAGAGTTAGTTCTGAAAGGTGCATTTGTGGGGCCTTAGGTGTAAGCCTTGAGGCTCGCAATCAAAACTAATTAAGTGCTAGGCGTGCCACCGCTATCTCAGTATAGCAGATGTAGAATAAGTGTGTTTTAGTTGATTACTTGCGCCCCAAGTTATTTGGACTTCTTGTTATCAAAGGATTGTCGTGGATGGGTTAAGTCCACATTAAGTTCTTTTTCTTGCCTTGTGACCAAGGACTTTTAGTTCATAGTCTTGTATGTTCGTATGAAGGGAGTTCAAAGTGCTTTAAGCCATTCACTCAGTTCTTGGTTGGTTTCAACAATGACATATTCATTAAACTAACCAGATCCAACTACAAATTGCATTCTTGAACTAGGAAAACTGATGGAAATAACTTGAACACATATTGAAGAATGCATTAAGTAATAGATCTACAAATGTAAGTACAAACATAAGGAAGTCGGGCAAGATTTCATCTTGTTTGTCAAGGTTGAACCTCTTGCAGCCACTTCTCTTTGAGTTTACAGAGGTTTGTATGCTGGAAAGGTATGGATGTAAATAGGTTTACACAAGGGAATCGATACTACGCCACTGAGGGAGGTAGCAGAGCTTTTAAACTAGAGAAAGATAGGCTTTCTAAGGAGATCTAAACAAGAGATAGCTTATTACTAAAAAGATCTGAGATCTTGACTGATTACAACTTTTGGATGCAAATTTGGCTTGAGAGTAGAGTTTGTATGTTTGTTTGTTTGATTGGTTGAGTGTCCTTGTCTCTGGGGTCTCTTCTTTATTTTATAGACCAATTAGCCCGACTTTTGTAGCTTTGCTCTTGCCTGAAAGCATCTAAAGGGTAGTGAGTCATCAGTTTTTTACTTAGAATGCCACTTAAAAGTGTTTTTTGGCTGGTAGTAGGTTAGTCTCCATCAGTTGTTACTTCAATGGAAAGCAAGTGGCTTATACTTGGCTGAGAAGGCTTCTGGGCTTCAGGCAAGTCCCCTTTTAGTTAGGCACTCTTGGGCTTTCCTTAATCTAAGTCCAATGTTCAAATATTAACCCAAACAGTGCCCCCTTTAATCACTGTTAAGTCTGCAACCCAGGATGCTAATAATGATTAAATAGACGTCGCATGCACTTACTCGGGACTTACACAATTTAAAGCAACCGTTGTTAAAAAAAACCTTTGCACTAACCCACGAACTCTATCGTTAACCATCCACTTACTATATAAACCTCACATAAACTCCTCGGCAAAGTACCTTAGCCATCTCTAATCTTCAAATCCCTAGAACTTCCCAGAATTCTCCGAGCCTTCAGAAACTTCTCTTGTTCTTTAGTTCTTACCTCTTAATTCCGATTTTCTTCCCATCTTCTCCTTAAAATCATTCAATGGCACCCAAAGTTGCTCAAACTCCATCTCTCTGCGAGACTGGTGAGGGGATTTCCACCATGTGCCATTTGTTCAATGGTTTTCATTGTCCTCGGGCAAGCCTGCATATTGAACTTTTCTTTGAGGAGGGAAAAGTTCACTCATTGGGACCTACATGGACTTCTCTAGTCCCTATTGTAGTGGAAAACAACATGCCCAAGGAGAAATGGTTTACCCTAAACCCATTTCAGGCTAAGTCGGGCATTTCGTCCTTTAAATAGTCAAACCACCATCTTGATTTCCCACTTATGAAGAATGAGGCATGGACACAATGGGTCAAAGAGCTCGAGCCCATCTTCAAGCAGAAGTGTATGAACAAAAAAATTTATGAGCTGATAATGTTGTCTAAGTTGACTATGATTGCTAAGCCCGAGCTGCTCATTAATGTTCTTCCCTTTTGGAACTCGGGCACCAATACCTTCGACTTCAGGATGGGCCCTATGTCTCATACCATCCTTAACATGGCGCAAGTCTTTTGGCTAAGGCCTTTGGCCAGAATTATGGACGTTACCCATGACTGGGCTCTTCCTTCTTGCCCGACCGTTGAGAGCTCGGGCATCTCCAGTCCCATGATTCAATTGGAATATAACTCTACGACTTTCAAGGGTTATGGAACTTCCTTCATGGGTTTTATCCCATTCGTCAAGAAAGAATTTGGCCCCTCTTTCTCCAATGCCAACAGAGATTAGGAGCACATGTATTTTCTCCTCTATTGGCTTAACAAACACGTCTTCCCCAATAAATCTAAAGGAATGAAAGTAGAATGGATTTCTCTAGTAGAAGCTCTTCAAAACTTTTACGATGTAGCCATAAGCCCCTTCTTCATTGCTCATCTCTATCATAGACTGTATGAGATTACAAAAGGTGAACCATTCGAAACCAACCTTAACGGTCCAACTTGGATGATCCAACTTTGGCTTCAATGGTATTTCCCCGAGCTTCAGGTTCCCAACCTAGAATTCCCAGAAGGAGTAGCCCCTGTCGGAATCCTTGCTGAAGCATCTTTCACTAATCACTCCATATTTGCTTGTCTCTGGAATGAGGGGCCTCTGTCCTTAGGAGATACCCTTGGTTTTTTTATCAAGCTTTTCAAGATGCTTTCAGGAAGGATGCTAGCCCCTTATGCAAAGAGAGATTTATCAGTTGTATTCAACCGAGGGACCTAGCTTGGGGAGTAAGGAGTGATCGCTATGAGCTTGGGCTAGAGGTTTACTACCCCAACTTCTGTGCTAGACAATTGGGGTTCAGGCAAGCCATTTAAGCAAAATGGACCTAGCTTCTCATCTTGGTGGGAAGCAAAATGGACTAAGAAGTATGGAGGAAACCTGCACGAAGCTTATGACCGCCTCTTCAAGCAACTATCCATCAAGTCTCATCCAAAGCCATCTGAGCTTGAAGATTGGAAGGAAATGATTCATCAGAAGAATCAGCTCATTCTGATAGGTATTTCTTACTCCTTTAACTTGTAATTTTCATGAATCTGTCTTTTCCTTGGTTTCCTTGTACTTGTAGCCTAAGGCAACCCTGTAGAAGTGGTTATCGGGCAAGATGAAGATGTTGTAGATGTTTTCATCCTCCAAGAAGCCACAGCTAAAGTAAAAAAGTAAGGTGTTGGAGAAGGCATAGATGTCTCCAAGTTGTTTGGAGACTTTGAGGGTGAGGAAGAGCTTGTAGTTGAGCCTTGGGCTACACGTCGGACTCAGGCAATGGTAGTAGAGACTTCAGAGTTTGAGCCCGAAGAACGGCCGGTTCCATCAAAGAAAAGGACAAAGGC